CAATGCCTCGTTTATTTTTGCGGTAAAAAAAAAAAAACTGCAATTTTTTTTTCGACATTTTGTACATGCTACAAGGGTGGTTACACGTGTTTGCGTCTGCAACAGTAACATTTAGAGCGCAGCTCTTAGGCGGCCGTTTCCGGCTTGAGCGGCGTCACCGTCGGCGTAACCGCGCGTTGCATCTTGGGAAACTTCCCATAATGCAACGCGCGGGTCTCACTCGTGACGTCACGCGTGACGTCACGAGTGAGACGTTCCCATTATGGGACGGTCGCATAATGACGTCACACGTGACGTCACGACGGTCGCGAGTGACGTCACGAGGGTCCCGTGCGCTGCATTATGGGAAACGTTCCATGATGCGACGCGCGGATCACTCGTAACCCGCGGGTTGCAATATGGGACGTTTCAGATAATGCAACGCACGGGACGTCACGCGTGACGTCACGAGGGTTACGAGTGACGTTACGAAGGTCACTTGAGAAAGTCACAACGAAGGTCACGACCTTCACGAGGCCCCACAAGTGATGTCACGAGGGTCACGAGGGGAAGGGAAGAACAATGTATTGGTTTTGGCAGCGAACAAAAGATTACTTTCTTGTTTACTAACTACTGGGTGATTCAAGGAGCGGCCAGGCTTTGCTCACAGATGTTTGTTTTGTTTGTTTGTTTGTTTTTTTGTAAAATTTGCCAAGAGCGAATTTACCTGAGGAAATAGTAAAGAAAGAAAAAGGCTTAGCTCCTACGGAAACGCAGCGACGCCACCGGTCTTCAAACAATACGGCGCCGCTTCGCGCGGGAGACAAGAGATGGCGCAAGCGGTCGCGACGCCAACTGCCGCCAACGAACGAGCATACGACGCCGAGAGCCAGCGTCTTTAGCAGAACGAGCTTTGCGACTCAAAAGCGGCGCGCGTTCCGCAAGTGGCGACAGTCGCAGAAACAAAAACGGACTCGGTAACAAGGAACTGCAAAGCAGACGATATCAGTACTTCGGAAAAAAAAAACAAAAAAAAAAAAACAGTCAAATATCCCGACAAACCATTTTTTTTAATCGATTATCTGTCCATTCAATATGTTTTTAAAAGGATGATAAAATAATGCAGTGGTTCTCAACCATCGATGTTTCGCGGACCCCTTGTGGATCGGCGGAAATAATGGAGGACCCCGTTCGTGGTGAGAGGAGAGAGAAGGTATAGGTTAAATATGGTAATGATTAAATAAATGGATATAACTAAAGGCTAGTGTGAAGTAGACCTCTCTATTTACATACACATGAGAAACCTGGCCCCAAAACTGAAACATTTTTTATCGACCTGAAAAAAATGGAACTCTTATTGCCGGGCTTAATTGATGAGGCAGGGCTTCGCGGACCTCCATTTGAGAACCACTGAAATAATGCATTGGCAACTGATATCAGAAAAGCTCGCGCCGCTTTTGAGCCGAAACGATCGTGTTTTGGGACACCCAGAATAAAGATTATTATATTATTCTTATTATTGTATCGCACTTATATACTTTCCGCTCGATGTTCTGCTCTTGAGGACCGATTGGCCGGTACCACAAACGACTGTTCCGAAGTAGCGGGTAAACGTCCGCCACAACGTTGGCATGTCGTGTGCCACCATCGCGTCGTCCAGGCCTCAGTACGTCGCCATATAGACTTGTTGCAAAACATCACGACGGCAGGGAATTTGGGAACCCTCGGTACAGATCACGCGCTTTCTAGTTGCGCCTCCGCGACTGCGCGCGCGTCCCGGCAGCTACAGCCAGCAGCCGTTGCAGCCATCCGCCGAGTCGTACGTCGTTGGCGGCGTACCGTATCTGTGGCAGAGTAAAGGCATCGCAACAGGTGAACTTATTTTAATACATTATTCATCGTAACTTACCTTCACGTGTTGAAGTGTCACCGAATACATTTAGTTTGCACCGCAACCGTGACAAGTTTCGACCAGGTTCGTCAAAGCGTTGGTGCAGCAGACGACAGAGCCGGTACAAAGGAGAGGAGTGAGAAAGGGGCAGGCCGTTGTCCGGTCGCTCGCCCGACTCGGCTGCTCAAAAGTTGTTGCCGTGGTAACCTGCGCCTGCTCGCGTATGACGTGGTAGCGGGAGGAGGGTCGTACCGAGAACTCCTATTATTCGTCGCGTGAAGCGCGCGGGCTTTTGGGATTTTTGGAAAGGGTATATTGAGGATGACGTAAACATCCACTTCCTGTTACCTGTGCAACATTTTTCTTTTTCAATCAACGTATTTGCAGTTTCTTGTTAGCCACAAAAAATGGGGTTCATATTCGTTTCTATTTCCAATATTGAATGTGTGCCTTGGATGACCACGACTTTGAATATATTTGGCATGCATCAGTTTGAAGTCGAAAGCGTGCCCTCTGTTGCAAGCTGTAGAACCCCTGCTTCTTGGGTTTAAACGCGTCCTGTCTCACGAGCCCTCATGCAGCTTCCCGCTTGCGCTACTTCCACGTTAAGCCGTGACGATTGTTCCACCACTGTGCGGTGGATCCAATTTTTTTATCAATCGGATTCGGCACGACTTTTGAAAGCGGTCTATTCTCGACCCGTGGTCTTTGTGCAGAAGGTATTCGAATTTTGAGCTGCAAATTGTGTTCCAAGTCGTTGGGCTCTTGCCGGACACGTTTTAATGAAAACCTCCGCTGGTACAAATACCCTGCCCACTGAAAACCCCCAAAAGGTGGTTTGAAATACCTAAGCCTGGCAGAGTACCGACATACAAACGACACAATGTAAATGTATATGGTGACTGAAGTAACCAGACGCAATCTAAAATGGGCAGTAAAAATCGGCGCCTGCACGTAGCAATCTAAACTTTTCGTCAAAGATGTATTTTCACTAAACAGTTTTTTTTTTTTTTTTTTTTTTGTAAAATTAGAAAGCGTAGGTCTTTTCCTGCAAAAAGTGGGGCCAAGAAACTTGATAGGGTCAACGGCGGGCGACGGCACAGACGACCAAGTCGAGTGGCGCACGGGATCTCGGGGGCCATGAGTGGCGGGGCGCGTTTGGCGCTCGTATTGATAGATGGCGCTAGTTGCAGAGCCGGAGCTGAGCCGGAGTAGAGACTGTGGAGTAGAGTTCCCTGCGGGAGCGAGAGTTGCGCGTCTGTTTTCCACATGCTGCCGCGCCGCTATTCGCCGAGATCCGATCACGTGAGGAGCTGGATCAAGTGCCGTGCAGGAAAGTAGACGTTGCGCGCACGCCCCCGTACGTTCCCCTGCTTCTGAGCGCGCCACGCGCCGCGCGCCTCGAACGCGCGGCGCCGCTATTCGCCGAATTCAGTCACGTGAGGAGCTGGATCAACATGCCGTGCAGGAAAGACGGCGCTACGGGGATGAACCCGCAACTCTGGCCCCCGTAGGGCCGCCATTTCCGTATTTGCGTTGGTGTGGTCACGTGGGCAGAACTGGATCCGAGCAGGGTGCCAATTTTCGGGGGGAACATATCTTCCGCTTTGCGTTCACAAGATATAGATACCAGAATAAAATCGAACGAACCGAAAGCTTTCTTAACCATTGAACATTATGTGTAGCAACTGGGTACAGTACAACATAACTCGCGTTACTTATAACGCGAGTTATGTTTCAGAACATCCGTTTCCAATGCATGGGATCGAAAGCGTCCAGCGGAGGGCGTCCAGAAATATATGCTGCAGGGCACTTGGACATGTCTCTGGACTGGACACCAGCTACTGTGACTGGCTGACGGCGTTTGGGTGGCGCCCGCTCCAACATAGGCGCCAAGTGTTCAGTGTCACAGTGTGCGGGTGTTGGACGTCAGGCACCTACCTCTCGACAGTAGCTCGAATTGGCAAGAGAACTGGACAACCCGACGAGCTGAGGGGGAGGACATTGCGCCACAGCTCCTCACTGCTCCCAGCTGCTATAAGAGACTTTTTGAAACTTCCCCTTAGTGTGCGCAGCCCCCTACCGTCAAACGGGGCAAAGTCACGAGAGCTGGCCAGGATGTATGGGATGCAGCTGGCATCCTTGTCATAATGCTTTTGTTGTTTCCCACCTCCTTTTGTTTCCTTTGTATGTACTTTCTGTATTGTGTATATTCTGTACATATATATGTCTTGTTTTTTTCACAAGTGGTGGCGGGCTGGCAGGCGCTTTGCTCAAGGGTTTTTCACCTATCTGCTTAGCCCCGCGCACCACCACATGTGCCCATTCCAGTATGTGCAAATAAAATAATTATCGTTATTATTGGAAGCGAATGACACGAACGACGATCACATTGCTCGCGTCTGCAGCTCTCGTGGAGTGATACGCGATATGCGACCGGCTCACATCCGGCGATCTTGGAGAGTCGGTGAGCTCTCATTCGAAAGTGAGGCGACGGCGTTTTCGTCAGCCGCTGCGTTGTTTACCGCAATTAATTTTTCATGCGCGTAGAAGGATCCCCGTGAGAATGACAGGCTGTAGTGTTACAAAGTGCACAAATCGCGCGGACAGCGGCAAGAACATGTCCAGAATTCCGACGGCGAAAAACGATGCGACACGCCGCCTCGTCTGGCTTTTGCGTATGGGAAGATCGCCAACTCATATTTGCGTTTGGGAAGGAGGCCGACAACAGCTACTTGACGGCTTTACTACATCACGACACCACACCACAACGACAATGGAGCCGTGCACACACCAGACACCACGACGACGCGCAACCTGCGGTTGCTGCGGTCATGCTTTTTGCAATCGAGAGGGAAACGGGAAATGGCGGGACGAAGATGGCGGGTGCACGGCTCGTCGCCACACGCCGCACTACTTCTTGAAAGCATTTTGAATACTGCAGGGGCAGTTTCAGCTTCAGGTTTTCCAGCAGGTGTATTGCAAAAACGAGCCAATAAATATGGCAGATAGCTCACGACACCACACCATTTGTGGCACTTGTGAAGGTGTCAGAAAATCAAACTATTCGGTAGATGTGGCATCGTGGCATCACTTGAAGACGGCGGCTCACGAGACAACAAACACAAGATGAAAATATCCACCTTTAATGACATCAACGGAGCCCTGAACTGCAGGTAACAGGTTAAAAAATCTTCTGACAGAAACGCCAATACTGAGACTTCAAAGACTCCATAAAACCTCGCAAATGCCGATACTTCTCGAGCAAGCGACAACCCTGGGAAATTAAGTGTGACAAAACACACGACGATCTAATAGTAAGCGTGCTCCCGCCGTCTCGCAGAATTGTTCGCTAGAATAGTACGGCAAACTCTTGGAACTAGGAGGCGGAAACAATAATATTTGAACGAAGCATGTTTTCTTGTATGACACATTTTATCTTTTGCTCCTCCTGCATCGGACTAGATGCACTAAAGTCCTCGAGCATCGGACTAGAGGAATTAAAGACGTTTATTCCCTCCCTTTCTTCTTGCAAAGCAGACCTACACAGGGACCTCCAAGTTCAGTCAGTACAAAACGGTCGAAAATAAAGTACATTGCCACCACTCCAGACTTTTCGTGACGCGTGTGCCGTTATCCCGGGCAGACAGTTGGGAACTTTGGCTGTAGTGCTACCCTTCCGAGAAATGCTGTCGGACGCCAGGACGCTTAGTTTTGATAAAAACCCCTCCCCTCTCCCCGGAAAAAATAAAATGATGAGGTATCAGTGGGGTCCAACAATTAGAAGACTTCTATGATTGATGCACGTGACTTGCCAACTCCAATCCACTTGACTGAAAAAAAGTAAAAAGAAACAAAAAGATAATCTGAAAAAACTGACATGGCACTCCAACTGATTGTGCACTGTTAAACCTCTCTATTTCTTTTGCTTCTCACACGCTGTTATGCTACAACCAACACAGAAGGGAATTACAAGAGTGTTTATGCCCGCTTCAGCTGGAGCAGCTCTTTATGGCATCTTGAAATCAAAATGTCGGTAACGTAACGTTCTCACGCAGCAAAAGCTGAAACTCGAATTGCCATGTTTGGTTGTAGTTAGAATTGCAATTTTCTTGCACCATTAAGAAAACAGACTCAAGTTAGACGAGAAATTTAGCGAGTGAAGTATCACTAGTGTAGGAAGTGCATAACCTAAGCACCAGCCACGTAACAAGAGTTTCGTCCATTCTCCCGAATTTCGGCTTGAATATCTTTGAGTCCTCAAATCAGCAAAGTTCCCACGAACCTAGCAATGCAATGCAACAAACAAAAACATATTCAGGTGTTTTGTACGATATAAGTAGGGTTTCACGTTTTCGAAGTTCTTTTTGTTCCAAATTCAACATTTATCAGTATAATGCTCCAAAACCTCCGACTTCTCTGCAATTTGGCACATACTAGGCATTTTTCTTCTACGAGCCAATGATAACATATCCACAAACACATAAAACATTATTAAAAACAAATAGCACAACAGACACAAATCAAACGAAATTAACACACCACAGCACCACACGTGCATCTCTCCTTTTTCGACTGAGTCTTCTGCGTGCCGCCAGTTTTTAAAATTGGCCCGCCAAGTAGCCCAATCGTCAACATTTGTCAAGTACATAAAAGATACAAAAAGCCATTTTAATTAGCTAAGGGGAAACCCTGGCCTTCAAGCGACACTACAACGAAATTTCGGCACTCATTTCTTGGTCTATACGTGCTCAAAGGAGCAGTATCACACCGGACACACCAATGGGCACGTTAAATTCGTCGGAAATGGTGTGCGAGAGCTCGAACAGGTTGGTCTCCGGTAAGATGACGGCGTTTTCGCTCTTGCAACCAGTGGTCCCACGCAGTGGTTTCGCACGAGACGGAAGAAACATGAAAACCCAAGTGTTTTGGGCTCCTGGCTGGGCCGCCGGGCCACCCTGGACCAGATGCGTCATGTATGCGCAGTTCCTGGCGAGCGAGATCGTTTCCGAACGCTCCGAGGATGTCACCGCGCTCGCCTCGTCAAACCTCGCTGACCGCGACCGCACCAACTGAACCCTGCGGCCGAAAGGCTCCGGCGCAACCAGGAATGGCACCGAGGTAGGAGCTGCTCATTCTGCGCTACCATGCAGTGCTCGGAGCTCCTGGCGTCCTTCGTGCTTGCGCCGAAGCCTTTAGGGACTCCCTCGGACGCACAAGTCGCGCCTGCTTGGATACGTGGATACTTCGACAGCAATCTTTTGGCATCTCGTGCGATCACTCCGTTATCGTGGGGAAAAAAAATAAAAAGATGCTGGCGTAGACAGGTATGCATACATCATTCAAATGCCTGTCGAAGTTCTTGATGTACTTTACCGCAACCTCAGGATGAGGCGGGCTGATAAATTCGGCCATTCAGCCGTCATTCTTTAAAGGGATGCTGAACTGAAATCTGGATTTCTTAAAACACGCGGTAAAAGCGTGCAACGGGATGCTACAAACATTGAAACATCACTCATACAGCGATATCTCGAATGGATGACCGTATTTTTAAAAAAAAGAGGCGAATTTTGCAGGAATGTTGACGTCATGTTTCTCCGGGAAGGAGAGGGAACGGCCTCGCGTCTTCTCCGCCTCGCGGCCTTGAGGGAGTGAAGTGAAGAGAGGAGGAAACTATGTATCTTGACGTTCATGCGCCTCGTCGGCCTGGTTTAATCTAGACTTCTTTTTCCAAAAATATGGCCGTCCATTTGAGATATCGCCTTACAAGTAGTGTTGTAGGGATTGTAGCGTCCCGCCTACATCTCCAGCATCGTTTTTTTTTAAAATCCGAATTTCAATTCACCATCCCTTTAAGGCTTTTTGGAATTCAGAAGACGTTCGGTGTACCTTTAATTGCCGCACCAACAGCGTGCAGCACAAATAGAAGCTCTTGCTGTTGCCACCGTCTCCGAGAACTTATTTCATCGAAGTCGTAGTCGAACAAACACTTTTTCTATGTTTCGACAAGATGAGACGAGAGCCATGTTTAAACGCGCGCCGGAAAGCCGGAAACGGAAACTTTAAAAATAGACGTCAGATGGCACCTCGGTACCCAAAAAAGTGTAGTTGTTAAGCTAAGCTCCGGATTCGCGCGCTCGAGCGCAGATGTCCGGAGTCTGGAGCTCACTAACTTAATGCGCCCATTATCTTGTTAAAAAAAACAGGAAAAGGAATTTTAAAACAAATTGAATGCCTAGAACTGCCTCGCCTAGAACTATTTAAACCTGACGTCATCGCAACTGCTCTATGGCCGGCACAAGAGAAGAGGGGAGGGAGGAACACTCTTTTGTGTGTCCCAGAGGTTGCTATTCTCCCACTAGAAGATTATAGAAGATTAACCCGTCACTCAAAATCCACACAAAAGCAGATTTGCAGTTAGTTATGGTGACCCAATGGCTGGCGTGCTTCGACCACTTCGGTGGCTGGAACGGCTAGGGCATCCTGACGACATCAGCCTCGCCAGAGTGGGCCGTTTATAACGATAAATACAGCCATCAGGTTCAAAATGCAAATGCGCGATTGTCATTTATGGACATTGTGGATCATATTAAGCCTATTTCTGAACGTGATGGGTGTATTTCAAATTTTGTTGAAGTATCCCTTTAAAACACCAACAAAAAAGTTGGTTAAAAAATGTAGAGCCCCTCCACTTCACGTGAAGATGGAGGATCAGCAAAGCTGCCATCTTTAAGTCTAGGACAATGACTAGAGGAGGACGACATCTAGGACGACCTCAAGGACAACCTCTTGGACGACCTCTAGGACGACGCCTTAAGAAATTCAGCCTTTCCACTCTGGTGAAAACTAGAATGGAAAGGCTGGAAAGGTTGCCGCCGTCACTCATAGATGGCAGTAGCTGTTTGGAGTTTTATGTCGACATTTGTTTGTCCATGGACACAATACTGGGGAAGCTAGCCCCAGTGTTTTTACAGCTCCACTGTAAAAACACGTGTATTGTAAGTACTACACTGAGGAAGTGCACATTTATATACAGCATATAGACGCTTTGCAGCAGCTGTGCATGGGTGATGTCATAACCGACCTTCAGTTTTTGTTTCCTCTTATTCCATTTAACTCACTTTGTCCTTACCATTGCAGGCCAGGTCACTGCCATTTTAGATTTTATTGTGTCCTTCTGCACATTGGCCTTTGTGGAGGCTAGCCGACGCTCGTTTCAATGGCCGAGTGTGTCAGTAAGACAAGAGAAGGTCGGCAATGGTGGCTGTAGTCTGGCGCATGTGTAAAGCACCTATACCAGGGGTGGCCAAGCTGCGGCTTGCGAGCCGCATGCGGCTCTTCGCGTGTTAAATTGAGGCTCGCAGCTCCCTGTAGTACCAATGGGTACTACAAAAGCCCTAAGTGTAGAACGGGTTGTTAATGCTGTGGCGTTGGTCTGTGGTAATGCCTCCGCTTCACACACAACGGACCCAGGTTCGATTTCCCCGGGCGGCGGGCAATTTGTTGTAAGGATTGGGCAACATCGACGACGGACACCCTATGATGCCAAGACGTCTACAACGACGACAACAACGGATGTCCTTTCCAGTGGTAGAAAAAGCCCATAAGAGCGATCACTTTAAAAAGGTTCTTACTGGGGATTTCGAGGAGCTGCTGGATGGTCTCGACGTACTTGCGGGCGTTCGGGGGCAGCTCCGAGTACTTGCGGCATTCCTCCGTCCGCGCCTGCCAACCGGGCAGCGTAATGTACTCCACTTGGATGCGGTACAGGTCGTCCGTGTTTGCTGCAAGCACAAGGGGAAACCCAAACTCAGTCGAGTCGCCAATTCAAAACCGCAGTTGCGAACAGTACACACAAAAGAATTAACCGCCTCTTTGGCATGTCCCCCCCCCCGTGATGTCGTGAGGTATACCTGCCGTCCAAGATGCTACGGCGTCAGATCAGGAAAGCATGCGGTTGCATTACCTCAAGTCACGTGACACAGCGTCATGTAAACTAGCATCTCGTGATACTGCCATGTCATGTGACACCACAATGTCAGTGCCGCATAACCTCAGGCACGTGACATAAATGCCATGTGCTCACGTGACACCACGACGCCAGTGTTGTGCAATGTCACATGACACTGAAATGTCAGTGTCGCACGACCTTACATCGTGTGCCACTGTCATGTGGTCACGTGACTGTGCAATGCGAAGTCCCGGGGACACCTAAAAACGATCGCCAGAGAGTTTCTTCTTTTACGACTCGTTGCCATAAAAAAATAATTGTGTTGCGTGTATGTTTAGACAGCCGAAAGTTAGTCGGCCCCAATGGACATCAGGTGTCGCGGCTGTAGGCGAGAAATTTAGCCGGGACAGTACCGCTGCAAGGGGCCGCATGCCGGTACGGCGCTAGTCCAGATCGAAACGGAAAGGGGTGGGGATTGAACCCGGGTTCGCTGGGTTCTGTGGAAATGCGTTAGCACGCTCTGCCACCGACACCCCCGTCTCGTCACTATCCCGGCAGCACAGTCAGACACCAACTGTTGCAAACGCCGTGACGCAACAATCGAACCTACATTCCTGGTGCAGACACGAAAATCCTAATGGGCCCTATAAATGCTCCGCATTTAAAAACAGTTTTATATCCGATATTTTTAGAGACTGAGCCGGCTCCAGGTACCGCAACTCTCGAGGACGGGTGCAGAAACGCACAGTGACATGGCGAGGGTGATTTAAAATTACATACAATACACACTGCAGTGCAAAGGAAAAGGACAAGAAAAAACAGACAGGACAAGCGCTAATCAGTGCTTGTCCTTTTTACGTATTTACTTGTCCTTGTCTGCACTTCAGTGTGCATTATGTATAACCAACTCGCCCATCAGATCATTTTAGAATGAAAAATAGTTACAAAAGGAAAAATTTAACTGCTTTTCATATTCAACAGAACCGATCTCTAGTGGTGCACCGAGTATTGGTATGTAGGACAGTTCACTTTTTAACCTTTCACAGGCCCAAGACCTGGACACGTGCGCAAAAAAACCAACAAAAGAATGCACGAAATTCGGAACATGGGAAACTATTCCCGTGCTAATTTCAGAAAACGACGGTACGCAGATGATATTCTTATCGCTCGCGGTTTCACGTTGCCAGCCCCATGCCTGCTGCAGGAGCAGCAACTTTAGCCGCTCCCTCTCCCTCCCTCCCTCCCCCTCCTCCTCACATGTTGAAGATTGTCCTAATATTGACTGATTTAGGAGTTTTACGTAATGCTCAGCAAGTTTTTACTTAAAGCCATGTGTTTATCTTGACTAATTAAAAACTTAACTACTAAATTTAAGGCAATTAGTATGTTTCTTGCAGAGCTCAATGTTCGCCGTGACCAAGAGGTCCCATTCCCGAAAAGATATCTTTTTTTTCTTCAACCACCTCATTGGTATGAATTTCCGAAAGCCTTTACAGAAGCACCCCGTAGATCACAAATGTGGTTTCATTACAAGCATATTCATTCACACTTGCTGTACACTGAAGAAGCACGTGGCAATTTGTCTTCAGAAATAACGGTGAGGGATGTGTCTCGTGCTCGGATTTATGCAAGATTTCCTGTTCGTACTAGCACACATGTTTCAGCTTTTAAGGTGGAGCTACTGCATAACACCCTACACCAGTTGTGCAACACAAAATCCGACGCAATGCAAATGTTTTTAGTAGTCCGCATTCGGGAAGACACATTGTCACGGCTAGCACCTGCCATCAACCGGCTGCTTGCAAGCGTTCGTCGCCCCAGCTATGCACTTCGAAGGGGCCGTTACCCGGTGGCGTCTTGAGCAGCTTGCCATCCAGGCGGTACCCGGTGCCGACCTTGATCTCCTCAAATCCGTCCAAGACGTCCAGCTTCGTCAAAGCAATCCTGGATGGAGAGAGAAGGGGAGGGCTTTTTCTCAAGCACCGAAGCTCTACTCACATTTTCTACCCCGAGCAAGAGTGTCGGCACACAGCTCAGCATAAAGTGGGCGTGCACGAGTGACAGTGCAACACAAGCTTTTGTTTTATTACTATATAAACAAGAATACTAGATGAATAAAGTGGCACAGTACAAGAGTGACAAATGAGAAGGGGAAAAAGGTCCCAATCCTTTTCTTCTTTGCTGGCCTTCTACGTCTTCTTTATCCTAGCAATATATTTTTTTTGTAAAAACCAAAGTTTTGCTAATTTCACGACCTGAACAACACTGATTGTGCGAATATACCACCCTGTACTAACGAGTGCACAGCATGCCGCTTCAATCGCACAATTTTGAGCACGCAAAACGTTCCCAAAACCCAGACCTTGCCAAATTTTTGAAATAGTACCGAGACCGCAAAAATAAAATTGAACACAGTACGTACTATGCAATTTTGCTAACGGAGCTCGAAAACTTTTTAAAACTTTTCAAGTGACGTCTCGGAAAAGTGCCGAGCTCCGCGAGGGCCTCCTTCTGTCAAACTACAGTCAAAGCCGGATATATTGAATTCAAATATATTGAACTCACAATTGTGCGATTGGAAGTTGCATGCTGTGCACTCGTTCCTACAGGGCAGTATATTCGCACAATCAATGTTGTTCAGGTCGCGAAATTAGCAAAACTTTGGTTCTTACAAAAAATATATGCCAACTTAAGCTCTCGTTGAAATTTCCGCGAGTCTGCTAATACCAAAGGTAGCGATAAACGGGACCTTACCAAATAGAGCGTCTAAGAGCCGCTAAATACATTAGAGCTTAGTTAGTGAGGATCACAAACACCGCTGCGTTTACGTCTCGCCACAACCTCCACAAAGCGCCAACAACAAAGCACGAAAATAATTTTAAAAAAAATGACAAAACAAAAATTGAGTTGCACAAAAAAAAAAAAAAAACTCGATCCATAGGATAATGCTAAGCAAGCAGCAAAAAAGAAACCTTACTAAATTCAGGCAGCAAAAAAAAGAAAGGCAAAAAAGAAAAAACGCGCAAAGACGGCGACAGAAAAAGGTAAGCAAAGATAAGGCGTTGGAAGTGCGACTGCTCAACCTTGTTGTCAACTCACTCAACTTGACTTTTGCATTTCTTTTTGCATATTTTATTTTGGGGCTAAGGAGTCGTGCAGTGACAGCGGTATTCGAGGAAAAAGCGCACACTACCGTTCCAACAGCGAGCACTCCCTGCCCTCGCTACGTGCGCGCATGCCCATCCCCTTGCTTTTTTACAACTGCTCTTTTGCCGCGTATCTTAGCGCGCGTATGCTGGCTTGGCGGTCTGCCAGCCCCACAACGCGAGCTATGTGATTGCCGCAGGAGAAGCCATGGGCTACGTGTGTACTGTTCGCTCTATTGAGTGTCCCCGCCCATGGCAGTTCGATACAGAAAAACAACACTCCTATACAATTACGTGCGATTTTCAAGGGGATGTTTCGACTTTACGATATAAACAATAATTCGAAATACTCGGGTGTGATATAACCAAGCTCGGCTCTAGCTACAAATTCCCTCAAAACTTTCGGAACGGTTCTATCTGGCATGCACCGATATCGCATCGGCAGCCATTGTAAAGAACCTTGCTGCTGTGCGCACACCTTCTCCAGCATATATTTCGCACCACCGATCATATTTTTTTTGGCAAGACCAAGTAGGAATGACTATCGGTGTGATTTGATGATGTTGCATGCAAGCGGTGTGTGGAGTCACGAAGCAGCTCGAGCCACTGATGCCCTCCTCTCCATGTCCTTTCTGAAAGCTACCGTAAAATACCGAGCAAGCGCACCCCTTCAAATTCAGATATTGTCCAATCAAAATAGGGAGAGGTCCCTTACTCGGCTTGGAAATAACAATCAAGATGGCGGCTGCAAAAATATTAAAATATAAAAAAATAAAATGGGAAGGGCGCTTAGAAAAGGGGAAGCGCATGCTTGGTATTTTATGGTAGTAACCCCCAGACACTAATAACCAAAAGACACAGGACACTTAAATTTCTCCTTTAAGAGTGGAACGTGATAGCTAAACATACAAACCCCCGCTTGTTGCCAAGCCGTGCAAGCGCGTCTGCGTGGCCTAGTTGGTAGCGTGTCTGGCTCGTAACCGAAGGGCCGTGGGTTCGAAGCCCGCATCCACCTAAGATTGTTCAAATTTTTTCTTCAAGGCAAATGAATTACTTAATAAAGGGAAATCATTTGAGACATCCGGCAACCTTTAATCCGCATTACATGCCATGTTTTGATCACTTTCATTCCACACATGACATCACAATTCACGCAAGTGTTGTGGGTTGTTTGAAATTTCTACGCGAGGTCGTGTGGCAGCGACGTCATGAACCTATCGACCAATCAGGATTTTCCCGTCCTGCCGATGCCGAATTTTCTGCGACACAAGCTCCTAAATGCTGTCGGGTTAAAAACCCAGATCACCTCTCACAGCTTTGAACAAGGCAAGCCACCCCAACTATAGCACCAAGGGCAGCTGCACCGCTCGACGCCTCACAAAGAGAGCAGCTAAGCGGGCAAGGCCGAAGAGTGACGACGAAACGAAGGAGCGTACGCAGAGTAGCCGTTGATCATGTTGGAGTAGCGGAGAACCACCAGGTCCAGCCAGCCACAACGCCGAGGTCTCTTCGTTGTCACGCCGAACTCGTCGCCCACGCTGTGCAGACGGTCTCCAACCTCCTGCATGGCACGCATCCCCATTGGTACACTGCACAACTGATCCCTATCGCCACAATGAAAGTTGCGGATAGACCGCTACAAGGTGGGTTTTGAAAGCTTTCTCTCTGGGAGAGCATATCTGGCTCTAATGACAGCCAAGGAACTGCAGTCCCTTTCAGTCTTATTGTGTTTAAGCGGTACAGAGGTTTACAGACCTGGTTAGCAACGGTACATACACTAAGTGTGTTTGGCTCATAGCTACACATCGATGCAGGGCCATGATATGCTGAAATACTGTATAAACTGGGTAAATACCTCACTTGACTAGGGACAATGAAGAGAATTTGAGTGCTCAGGGAACACTGGAAGGTACCCTGAAAAACCTAGTTTCAATATCCATGAAAACTGGGTTCCTGCAAATGTTCCGGTGGAGTATCTTTGGGGGTCTCCTTTTTCAAATTTCCTTGGCTGTCCCTGCCCTGTTAGAAGATCTGAGAAATCCGATGTTGGGTAACTGTGTGCCAAACGCTTCCCAGTACCGTATTTACTCACATAATAAAAGAATTTTTTTTTTAAATGACAAAAAGTTTGTTTATTACGCAGGGTAAAATTTTTGCATTTACACACTTGGTGCAAATGTCATACTAGGTGCCAATATGGCATGTCAAAGTACTGTGGTATGTCTCCACTGATGGAGGTGCACCCACAGCTGGTTGGGGGTGCGCCACAGTAACCATGCTTTATGAATTGCAAACCTTTTTAGATCGCTTTCGGTGTGCCTTTTGCCAAGGAAAAGCACCCTACGAAGCTCACTCAGTATGGAGAGCAACGTGACCATTCTTAGGCCTAACCACTTTCACAATTTCACTGTTCGAAAGTGGACCACAAAAAATGCCGCTCAGTTTCACGGTTGATCACTTCCGCAACTACGCACTTGCAGTCATTACGAGAGCGGCTTGGCTTGACTTGAGTTGGCCTGACCGCTTGGCAGCAAAAGAAAATTGGCTTGGGGGATAGCTAAGTTAGACGCAATTCAAAACTCGCATTGACCCATTGCGAAACTCGCAAGATCCAGACGTATACTTAACATCGCAAATTTGGGCTTGCAAGAATGTGCGCAGGCTTCCAGAACAAGTGGTATTTTCGGGTCGAAATATTTCCTGTGCCCAGCCATTTGCTGGGACCTTCCGCCAATCACAAGTGACCTGCTCCCAACCAGAAAACAACACCATTGCATCTAAAGGCTAGCTCAAACACTTGTGTCCTGGTGTGATAGACAGCCTTAGAAACAGCTTGTATCTGCTCAGTGAGAAAATACACTGGGGCCATCCACCAGGTACAACTGAAACATCCCTGATCTACTAATCGGTGAATTTGTTCCAGAAACTAGAGAAAGAACAAGCGTCAAGAAAGTGGGGGTAAGTGTCGAGGCGTCGCTGCGACAGCTGGGCAGTGTGAGATAGAGTCAGCAGAGCCACTTTTGGCTCCACATCTATTACACTCGGCGTCTCGAACATTCGTTCTAGAATGTTTGAGGGTCGATCGCTCAAGGTAAAAGTAAATACAAATCTTCTAAAAGTCTCCTCTCGGCCATGCATGTGGCAACATTTCTAGGGCTACCCAACAGGCGGCGCCACTGCGTCACTGTTCTCTACTCGTAGCAATTATAAGGAGAGAGGGGAGAGGGGGCAGACCCAGCCGACTCACATTCTTCTGCTCGGTGGGGAAGGGCCCGTCTCCGACACGCGTCGTGTACGCCTTCACGACGCCAAAGACCTTCTGGATCACCTTGGGGGGAATGCCCAGGCCTGTGCACACGCCGCCCACCGTGCAGTTGGACGACGTGACAAAGGGGTACGTGCCTGCAACGCACAACACCACAGCGAACCCCCAGTGAGGTAAGTGCACGGGCGCGATGCTGGATGACAATGTCGCGGAACAGTACGTCGGAACAATGCATCAGAGTTCCGGAGGATGCCGAGATGATGTTGAAGGAACTCTGTCAGAAAGAATGCTGGAGAAACTGTCTCTGAAACAATATTGATGAAACCGTGCCGCAGAAACAATGCTGCAGTAACTATGCCACAGAAACAATGCTGGAGAAAGAATGTCTCAGAAACAATGTTGCAACAACTAGATCACAGAAATTATGTGGCAGCGTCTACGCCACAGAAACAATGCTAGGGAAACTAGGTCTCAGAAACAATGTTCCAGCAATTATGTCACAGAAATAATGCTGCAGAAACTATGGCACAGAAATACTGGCACAGGAATTGTTTCAGAAACAGCGATGCAGAAACTGTCACCGGAACGATGTTGGAGTGACTATCACAGGAACAATGTTGTAGCAACTAAGTGGCAGAAACAATGTTGTAGCAACTAAGTGGCAGAAACAATGCTGCAGAGATTGTCACAAAAACAATGTTGCAGAAACTCAGGGGTGGAAGCGGGCTAGAGCCTTTTGTATCAGGGCTGGGAGCAGCAAAAGTCCCACTTTGGAGCAGTTTTGGAGCAGTAAAAGGCTCGCTTTAGAGCAGCTCGGGAGCAGCAAAAATAAGTTTTCTAGCCGTAGAGGTAGGTTTTGGAGCAGGTCACGGAGGTCAAACAAGTGTTTTAAAGTGATTTGTTGTTTCTAAATGTGAAAATGTAGCAAAAATATATGCATGCACATCCCAGAATAATTTTCAAGCAACATACATACACACCTTTCTATTTCTATTGCATTGAAATATGGAATATTGGCAATTTATGCAAAGGAAAGGCTTTGAGAACCATTCCGGCAGCAGGCAGAGTCATAATAGACTTTATATGGGAGGCCCCGACAATAAAAGCCTAACTTGAGCCACGCCAGTACAAAAGCGTCTACTTAATAGACCAATAGTAAACATGTATCCAGAAAACTAAACCACTGCAAGGTGTCAGATAGACTACCTTCGCTGACTACAGTTTTTGTTTAATAAAGAATACACATGTTCAATCAGTGCTTAAAAAGCCCTATATCAAGTTTAGTAACAAAATACAAGGCTACTGACATTTGACAAAAATTCAGATGCAAAATAAAATATGTATTTTATATTTTTAGAATACCACAGTCACTCGTACATATGCAGCTTTAAGCATCGACTAGAAGAGCAACGCAACCTTATGTACTCCATAAAATGCTGTGCATTGCGTGTCTCCATAAAAAACATTAAGGTACCACAACATGTTTCAGAATAAAGCAGTCCTTGCTGACTTGTTTTCATTAAATACAAATGTTCTTAATCCCTTTTCATAAAATACAGTAATCCTTACACCCAAGCTATATCTATATTCTCTATCTACAAAGCTATATCTATATATCTATATCTACAAAGCTATATCTATATTACTTTAGATGGAAAAATATATTGTCTTAAAAATATCACAGCCACTAATACATATGCAGCATAAACACTGACTAGAAGAGCCCACAGGCTCCATGTTAAAAAAAAAGGGTTGTGACTAGGCTGAATTTGTGTAATTTAGAAACAACTGAAGTTCACCTTTTTTTTTCACAGTTTGAAGAGCAGAGTCAATTTCTTTTATGCGCTCGAGTACTTTGGGCAGTTTAGAGTTCACATCACTTAGCAGGAGGTGTCCACTCCCCACCTTGTCCATGTCCTTAACTGCCTCACCCTTGCTTATGAGTTCTTGTGCACTCAGTAGAAGTGCTTTAAGAGAATACAGTTTGAACGAGACTGAAAATGAGATGTAGCTGATCAGGCGCTGATCCCTGCGGGGCAGGCTGCCTTCTTACGTGACAAAAAGCCCACCAACTTCTCTCTACCCTACCCAACCCCCCCCCCCCCCCCCCCCCAACCAGATACACCTATACCCGAAACTTATACGAGTAGAGTGGCTATAGCAAGTTAAGGTGCGTTCTTGACAGGAATCGGCAGCGCGGGAGTGTTGTACGGTATTTCTGATGTAACCCCCACTCCTCCACGCTAAAGGAAAGTAACAAAAAAGTGTGAAGCACTGCCAATTAACCAACTCGCTTAAGATCGCGGGTATTGTTTTCGCTAGTGGTCTGACGGCGGGAGACAACACACGACAGCGTGCACATTCGCGCACACAATGATGGTTTTGGTTTCGTTTTGACAAGACAAGTTGAGCTCGAGAACGGATGTGCCTGTGCTCGCGATTCTTCACGGCTAAGCGTCCAAATATGGTAGGCTACCAAATAACAGGTAAAGCTAGTAAAGACCACTTACTTCTGCTCATGTTAATGGCCAAGGTAGCCCACCGGTGCCGAGGCACCAACTCCCACGATCACGGCAAATCGGGACCACGGGCAACTGCATGCGCGCTCCAACCGCGCCAACCAACTATGCCCGAAACCAAACCGATGTGTTCGTATATCAAGCTCTTTGTAGTAAAAAACGACATCGCACTCTCGATGAACTAAAATCGACGCCTCGCCCTGAGGTTACACATGGTTCGGAGCCCCAGTCGAGTTGGTACGAGTCACCCGCAGTGACACCTAAGCAAAAGTACACACCACATGGTGGCCCGTGGCCAACCGTTTTACGCTAAATTTAAAAAAAAAACACTAAAGAAAAAAAAAAAAAGTTGAAATTGGCGTTTTGGAGCAGGCTGGCGCAGGGAAGTGAATTGGCGCAGGGTGGCGCAATTGGCGCAGCGCTTCCACCCCTGGAAACTACATATGCCACAGAAGCCATGTTCCACAAGTAGGAGGCTGACACAATGCTGTGGAAACTAGGTTGCTGGCACAGAATCGCTGCAATGAAGTGGCTTTCTGCACAGAACTGTTGGGACAAGGTTGTAGGTACAGAATTAAGTTTTGACTAATGAATAAATGATACTGGCAACCTTTTCTTAAAGGAGCTGTGCAACGATTTTAACGTTGAAAAAATTTGCATTTTCTACTTTTGACATTGTTTATCTTGTCACAAAGGACAGAAAACACATCTCCTTCCTTCGAAATGTTGATATTCCGCCGGGTAATCGCAAGGCAAAAAATATTCCCTGACCTGCAGCCGCGAGCGGCGGCCGTCAGAACCACGTGGCGAGATGTCAAACGGGGACTTGTAAAAAGATAGATAGTTGTGAAAATACCTGCTCGATAAAAGGTAATTTTCCTATAAATCTTATCATTCCAACATAAATATGAATGCGCCAAAAACCTGGTATCGACAACAAAACTTTTATTGTATGAAGTTTTAATGGCCCCATCTACCCGAGGTCAACAAAACCGTCAGCTCTATCTGCTACCGCGAACAGCCGCCAGAAGCCGGAGGGGACGGGGGCAGAGCCGGACGGGGATGACCGGACCCGGACGAGCACGCTGGCTCTTTCCTCCTTTCGTAATCGCAAGCGGGCGAGTTCTCGCTGCTCACTGATGACCTTAGAGAGAGCTTCAGCAGAACTCCGTGCGTCCCCCTTTCACGTCATAGCGTACGTGGCTCGAAAGATGCTCAAGGTGTTGACCGAAAACCTCAATCTTTGTCATTTTTTAAATAAAAACTATGACATATAGGCAAAAGCGGTTTTTTGTTCTTTCCTTCAGATAGATCGAGACACCAACTCTCAAATTATTTTAGCAAAGCACTGAAATTGTTGCACAGATCCTTTAAGGGTGTAGCTGGAACAGTAGAAAAACACGATTCTTTTATCATATTTTGTCGATTCTTTAACACATTTACTTTAATGCGACTTAAAACTTTGCGCAAAATGAAACGCTAAAATCTGCGGCTAGAACATGAAGGGTTTTTCAGGGAATTCAGCTAATATAACACTTTCTGCATTAAAAAGTCAGAAAAATATTAGCATGATTACCAAGGTCGCCAGTAGAGAAACACCTACGAGCACAGTCCTACCTCGTTAATATGAACCCCGTTAATATAAACATCCCTCTATATGCCAACATTTTTAAGGATGAATCGGGTAAATGCACACATTATTGCCCCGTTACAGAGAAAAAATCGCATTATGAACATTTTTAGGTGGGGGCGGAAGGTATTCACATTAAATGTGACAGACAAGCCCTTCTTCGCACACTCTGCCGATTTTAACACGATGGCTGCAGCATGTCGGCGTTGACTAAGACAGAAGGTAACAAACAAGCTGCTCCCAATCTCTCCGCAGAAGGCACAAATTGCAAAAGAGAGCACACTCCAAAAACGATAGCCGCAGTCGGAAATTGGCATCTCGGGGAAAGAGGGCCTACCAAAGTCGATGTCCAGCAGACAGGCGTTGGCCACCTCCACCAGTATCTTCTTTCCATCCTTCAGGGCCTGGTTCAGGTACGACACCGTGTCGATCACGAAAGGGCGCAGCTGCACTGCATGCTCCTGCAGAAGACCGGACAATCGTCGCAGTCATCATGGCAGACTGGCAGACACTGGGAACCTCGCGAGCATTTATGCGACGATGTGTCTCATAGTGCAGTTACATCATCTGCGACCTTAAAAAAGTCTAACTTACTGTGAGTATTAAGTGCTAAGCTAATGAAGGCCATCTGGCCCACCCATGAAGGACCGAGGATTAGTTTTGACCACTCTGGGACCTTCTGAGTAACGAGGCACCGTATCTGCAATAAGGGCGCTTCGGAAGGGGTTCAAGCCCGCCACCCGAGGATCCGCAGGCCGGTGCCTCGCCTCGGAACCACCGATTGCAGCCTTGAAAAACTGACTGGCTCTTTGACATTTCCCAAAGATGTATAAATGCACAGCAATTGAAGGGCCTATTCGCACTCCTCCTTTTGCGAGCAGAGTAAGGAGGCCAGTGGAGCGAACATTAGGGGGGGTTCTGAGAATTAAGCCATCGTGGTGTCTTGCGACGCTACCACTTTGTGTAATGCCATGGCGTGACAATGCTGCCAGATATCATATGACCACGTGACAGACACTATGATGTCGCACTCTTGTGTGACATGCCATGTGATGCCAGTGTCGTGTAGCGTCACCGTGTCGCATAACGTATCCGTCATATGGCAGCACTGTCATGTGTCACAGATACTAAGTCGCAGAAGACAAATACTATGCATTTAGAACGCCTTTCAGATGGTGCAGTGTTACGCGACACTGTGACGTCACCAAAACACCAAGACCTGGCCCTATAAATGCAATGGTATGCAAAAAGTTGATGCCTTCGAGAGACAAAAAGGAGAATGCTCTCGGACCACGTAACGTGCGCATTGACAAGACGTGCCCATAGCACCTAACGCGCTATGGGCACGTCTTGTAAATATAGTATTGTTCAAAGTTTTTATTGGAGGTATGTACTGTATCGCTTTGTTATATGTTGTTCCTCCCTGCCACGGCCCACGGGCCAGCAGTATGTATAAATAAATAAATAAATAAATAGTAAACGCATCTTGCCAGAGGGTACAACATATAGTAACCAAAAAGGCTTTTATGCGTTTCGGTTTCATCACTTTGTCCCAGTTCGAAGCAACCACTACGATAGCTTAAAAAAATTTAGGTGGCAAAGTAACCCCATTTAAGGGAACACCATGACTCTCTGTGCGCGCACGAGAGCACACAAAAACGAGGCACAAGACACACTTGCACAGTAGTGTGGGGCTGCAGCACTGTGAAAACTACGCCAGCTTCAACGATATGGCACAAGAAGGTCGGCTTCCGAGTACGGTGCCACCACACAGAAGCGGCCTCCACGGCACACCCTTATACTTCTCTCTTCTCACCGTAAAATACCGAGAAAGCGCCCACCCACAAGTGGGAGACAATCGCGAAAAAATGGGGACTAGCGGTTGTTGGGTTTGTGAGCAGTGACGCACAATGGGCACACGGCAGGGTAGGCCCTAGTTCGACCTGACAGAACAGTATAGCAGCAGTACAGGGGTCCGAGAGAGCCCATTAGTATTTTATAAACAGCCTCGCCGCTCCTGTCAAGCATGCTCGGCACTGGCGTCGAGCTTTCCTGCTTCGTAGTATCGTAGAGCTTCGCCGTCTTCTCAGAGAAGCAGCCGACGCAGAGGAGAACCTCGGTTATCCCTGTAGGTTCAGATGTTTGCTGAGGTGGGCCCTTTACGACCTTTGCTCGCATGGTAGCTCAAATATTTCAGAAAATAGGGGGTCTGCACTCATTGCAACGTCGGCGCGTGCTCGGTATTTCACGGCATACGGATGGAAGGGCGCCACGCAGAACCAGGGCCTCACCTTGTACTTTGCCAGCTCCGCGTCCATGTCCACCTTGAGGGTGGAGGGGAAGAGGCGATGGTATGTCTCCACCAGGCTCCGGAACCTGACACAGGGGGCACACAGCTGTCGCCACCGGAACACCCACCGCCTTAGACTCCCAGCAACCAGGGACCAGAGTGCCACCCCTCCACATGCCCCCTCCTCAGCTTTAGAGCAATCCCACCCTATGCCATCCTAGAACTGCTAAATAAGATACACTTAGGACAGCGACACTCCATTCTCTAATTTGCTTCTGGGCGAAGCCATTTTGAAGCTTGCCGCATCGAACACCGAAATGGCGACGCCCACGAGAAAATCGAAGAATGAAGTGCGGACACTCTGAGCATAGCTTAGGGCAAATTCCGCTAATAGATTTGGAGCAGTTACAGAGTGCTTTTTTCTTGGTATCTTTACACACATGCAAGTATGAGCCAGCATTTGCTGCTCTAAACACGCGAGCATGGAGCAGTTTCGGATAACTCCAAATCTAACAGTCGATTCTGCCATTAGTTAGGGACTCCAGGCCAATCCACACAAAGTCAATGCTCCAAACCTGCTCAAGCCTTCGTTGCTTCTTCACCTTCCCCTTTTACGCCAAAACCAAGGGGCCCTTGCGTCCCCTCACACACTTCATCGCATGTGGGCAACAGCCCTCGATGACAAACAAGATGGACTTGCACAAGGTGAACAGCGTTGGGCGGTTGCCATTTCTGCACTAACAAAAGTTGAACACAGCTCTCTCATCACTCAATGAAGGCTGGGGACTTTACCGGGTAGCATTACACGAAGCAGCGTAAATGTCACCACACCGAAGCAAAACCAACCTGGTGAACTACAAAGGTGAACTACACTGTTACGCATTATGTACGTTAGAAAAAGACACTAAATAAACCGGACACCCGTGCCCACAGTATGCTACGTAGTTTCAGCACACGGAAACAGACTGTTGACAACGCTGGGAGTGCTGGGACGAGCGGATGAGTCATACTTTTGGTTTCCAGGCTGAGTGGTGCCAACCATCACCCGTTATAAAAGGTACAGCCATTAGCATCCACCCATCCATTCGTAGCATAATTTTTTTAGTAAACTTGTTTCGCAACCTTTGTAGGTACCCTGTTTCAGTTAATGGCTGTTTCGTTATAGCTGCTGTGGGTTGCTTTCCAGCTTGACGATCCAGGAGTTGGGACGCTGCGAACATGACGACGCGTGCGTCCGCTCGTGCTTTTTGTTGGCATTTTCATGACGAATCGCCGGTATCGTGGCATCCGACAGCAGGACACTTCTGCTTTTGCGACGTCGTTTGTTGCCACTTTGGGACCACTTTCGATGCAAGGGCAGGACAGGACGCTAAAGGTACCAGTCCAAGGCGCATTCCATGGACCATAGATAACAGTTAGCCGAGAGCTTGCACCACCTTGCCGCGCTCCGCGCACGATGCCACGGTTCAATATGATGTAGCAGTCCAACTTCGTTTGATGTCATCACTGGTTCAATCGCGTATTAAATACCGCGAGTTGTTTACCATCTCTGAAGGAACAAATTAGTTATCATCCCAGTAAACACACTTTCCATCCAGAATGTTTCGGTTGTGGGATGATTCCGATAGCGGCGTTGTATCATGGTAAAAAATTTAATTGTCTCGGCTGTACAACAATTCTGACTCCAGCACTGTAGAGCAAACGAAAGCTAAACATCACTTGCGAGGCATGCATGTGACAAAAGGTCGGAGATGCTAGAATAAAGACAAAAGACGTGCAAAGTAAACGAGAAAACAAAAGCACGGGACAGCACCGGGGTAAGCAGACAGCCTTTTTCCGATTGCCTTCTTGTTGTTTGTTTTTTTTGCAGCGGAGCTGTTAAGAGCTAGGTTCTTGAGGATCGTGTTCGGTACAAATCACTTGTTGACAAAAACGCCTCTGGACAGCTACCACCATCTATAAGCGACAGCGGTAAGCGCACAACCAGTATGGTTGCCGCCGTCGCTGGTAGATGGCGCCAACCTTTCCAGCTATCATAGAAGAATGGATAGTTGGGCGGCGCGTTGGTGGGAATTCATCGTAGGAAACAGCGCGAAAAACAGACGACGACAAAGAAGCACACGTAACGAGCACAGCGCTCGTCACGTGTGTTTCTTCGTCCTCGTCTGTTTTGCGCGCTGTTTTCTATGCTCTTATCAGTTTCGGTTTGGACTCAAGATGGGTCAGCCGCGAGCCCTTTCGGAGAAAGAAGACTGGCTGCGGGAAGGAGCAGCGACGTACGCAGCAGCGCGAATGAGTCTGTAATCGCCGCAAAGCCGCGGTCGCCTCGACTTCCACTGCATCGAGTGCTTCAGATTTCCTTGCCAAAGAAGAGCACATCGCTCGCCTGAAAAGCCGCCGCCGAGAACAGAATCAGCGATGTAAAGGGCGTCAGCGGGCCATGGAAGCCAAGCGCCAGCACAAGGCCTGGCGACGACTGCACTCCACGCCGGCTGAACAGTTCCTGGGCGCGGCGGCGATGTTCAGGGAGTTCGTGGATTACCCATTTGGCGTCACGCGCGCCGTGTGCGACGGACTCTTGGTCACCGGAGACTAATCCACGATCGGCGGCGTGTTGGACGAGATGAAGCGGGAAACGGGCACGTGCGCGTTGCGGCAGTGTATCGAGTACAGCTCCGCCGGTCTTCCTTCTTCACGAGAGTGGAAAAGCTGAACATCTTTTGTAGGAATCTTTCGTTCCTACACGAAAAGAAAGGTGTCTGGTGGGAGCAGCTTGGAAATGGTGCATTTTAAACGAGATTGCTATATCACCAATCTAGAAAATTACTTAACCCTTGAACCACTCAAAAGACAACACCAGAGTGTATCGACGATGAACAAAGATGCTTGCGTTTAAAAAAATGTGGGTCGCAGCTCGAGGCCTGTAGGTTCCAGACCTCTCGAGCTGCAGATTTGAAAATTTGCACTCGCCGAGAACACTCTGCAAGCCTTCTCCGATTGCGACTACGTGTGGGGACTAGGGGAACTCCCGCTATGCTAGTTAAAACCCCCAAATAACATTAGTACCCGGACATTAGCACTCATCGTAGGGAACCCACGACCGTTATCATGCGTGTAAGCGCCAGCCTCCCAGAGCTCGGTCTTTATCACCATATCAATGAATGAAGTGTCGACAAAACCTTGTAGTGGGACAAGTACCCCCTTTAGATTCCCGTCAGGGCAAAACCTCCGGATTTTGGGTGCAAGGCGAGACTACTACACTGGAAACGTATGCAGTGATATCAAGTGTGGCCCTCAGATAAAGCATGCACACAGTTGTGAGGTCCAGCCAGCTTACGGTCCATAAACAGCTGCTAACAGAGATAGCTGGGTGCAGTAGTCCAGTCTACACAGTAAATGAAACTTCAGTTTCCTGTGTGAGCTTATCAGGAAAGATAAGCCTCATCTTGTCCAGGGCCATCAAGCAGAGAACCATTCTAGCCCACAAGAAGACCCGCTTCATCACGTGCTGCTGTCGTGCGTAAAAGCTGGCCATTAAAAGATGGTCGGCGACGAGGAAGCGAGAAACTGCCCATACTCACCGTTGCTCAAACACTGCAAAGTCCCCCACAAGATCCGCCATCCTCAGTCCTGTTCTGGATGCCTGTAAAGAAGAAACGTCCCAAATTCGGAACATTTCCACACATGTTACACGTTTCAGTCTGGCACCAGTCAAGAGCCTGTGTACTAACACCTGGCCTCAAGCACGCTGCAGGCTTGTATGTCGCTAGAGGTTTCTGTCATGTTCCCTCTTCACAGCCTTTACAATTCCAGTGACTGCCCGTAAATTGCCATCTCAAACTTTCCAGTTTCAGTTTTGTTTTTAAAGTGCTGGGTGTGCCAGTATGACCTGGATTAGTGGAGTTCAGGCCGGGGCAACACAAAAGCCATCCGTGCGTTAAGCTGTTAAAAAAGAGGTCGGCATGGACTGCCTCATTGCCCATTGTCACAATGTCGCAGTCAGTTTCGCAGCTTAGCAAGCTAGAAGCACCCCAAGTGCCATTTTACCTTTTTCACTAGCACTAGTCTGGGCCAACTCATGTTGCTGCTGACTGTACCTATGTCTGCTTTTGCTGGGCGGTGAAGAAAGCCTCCCCGGTGGGATGAAATGGCCCACACGCTTAAAGGTTGACCCCACCAACTTAGGAAACAAGAGAAAAGATGCTGTCAACCTGGTTTCAGTAACAACATAGTTACTAAAGCCAGGAGGAAGAAAAATATATGAGAAAGCAAACAGCACCTTCGATCTGCGTGCACGATTCATCACAAGGAAAGGCTCCAAGCAATGAACAACAGGCTCGCTCACATTTGAAGCGACCCAGAAACAAAAGCTGGCATGAAGGAACTAAGTGATTCTATGATCCCCTACAATATGTCATGATGAGCTTGAAGTGATGTGACCAAGTGACCAATACAGTCGAACCCAGATATATTGAATTCAAAGGGGATCAAAAAATGGTTCGATATATCAATAATTTGATACTATACAAAAATATGTTCAATTATCCTGGCGTCTTTGCTAACACTGAAGGTCGCGACAAATGGAAGCTTACCAAATAGAGCATCCGAGAGCAGCTAAATACAGTACAGCATAGTTGGCAGAGACCGCAAACACCGCCGCACTTACATGCGCACCTGGCCGGGGCCTTCACACAGCAAAAGTGACAAAATAAGAAAATAATTTAAAAAGAAATGACTGAAAGTGAAACACGTCAAAAAATCTTGATCCATAAAAAAAAGTTAACCAAGCAACAAAAAAGAAAGCTCACTAAATTTAGGCAGCAACAAGAAAGGCAAAAAAGAAAAAGAAAAGCTGGCAAAGCAATAAATGCAAAAAGAAAAAGGTAAATTAAGAAAAAGAAAGTACAAGATGCAAAGAAAGAATTAAAAAACAATTAGGGACGAAGGCAGACAGCACAGTTCTGTGCTGGCTGTCCTTGTCCCTAAGTGTTTTTATTCTTTCTTTGAATCTTGTACTTTCCACAATTCGCTGTTTGATCTTTGTAAAAAAAAAAGAAAGCTCACTATATATTCAGGTAACAAAAAAAGCAAAAAAAAAAAAATTAATAAAAAAAAATGGGCAAAGTAATAAGGGCAAAAGAAAAAGGTAAACAGATAAGGCTTTCAAAGTGTGATTGCACAACCATTGTTGTCAACACACTCAACTTTTTTTGTTTTTACTTTTTCTTTTGCTAATTTTATTTTGGAGCTAAAGGTGGAATGGGCGATGTTTAAAATGCAACAGAAAAATTTTATAAAAAAAAACAAAATTGTTTTTTTATAAAAAAAAAACAACAAAAACAAAAAACAAACAAACAAAAACAAACAGGGGAGGGGGGGCCGCCACTACAAACTACCTCAAACAGGAACTGATAAAACAGATTGCGGACACGGTAAGTTCATGTTTTACAGTGCGACAAGCACGCAGCAATTCACTAAAAGCTCTCGTCACAGGAACAGATACCGCAGAACGCAGGCGCAGTAAATTCGTGCATCACAGTGCGACAAAACACGCGCGAACCCGCTAAAACGTGGGTGTCATGGGGACCAATATCACGCGTGCAGATTGCGGACAAAAGCGCAAGAACCGGCTACGAACTCACGTGTCATGGGAACAAATTGTGGACGCAGTAGATTTGCCAAAATGGAAGCACACTTTGGAATCGTTCCTTGCCAAAAAGGATAATATGACGTAAATAGAACGCTAAATTTGTTTCTTTTTTTGCAGGGAAAGTTTATGTTGCAACCTACGTCTGCACTTCAGGAACTTGAAAAATATGTTTTGGTAGCTCAGTGTCCCCAGGAGCAACACCAAAAGAGGCTTCTACTTCAGGTTGACATGTTGACGTGCCTTTAAGATGTACAGCAGCAAAGCCCACAAGCGCAAGCTCCTTAGTCAAGGGTCCACCTCAGCTGCACTAACTCAAGCGCGAGCAGTAACGCAAGTAACTGCAAGTAGCGCAAGTAACTGCAAAAGCTATGAGCTTGGGCTTTTAGCCTTCGTTGCAGCGCACCTTAAGGTGAAATTAAGTAATACCAGCTCATCTGCTTTCTTAAAACTTGCTGCACTAAACAAAATAAACATTGAAATGGGTAAGATCTACGAGGTTATTGAAATATTGCTTCAAGGAAGATGCACATGCAATGTGAATGTGTTTCGCTCACCTTGCAGGCATATGTTGGTCCAATGCCCTTTTTCGTGGTTCCTATGCTGGTGGGCAAGAGATGGCTGATCAGTTCCCTAGCTACTTTCACGACATCGGCAACAAACCTCCGACAGCTGCCAACGCTAGCCTTTGCCCCAGGGCAGCTGTTGCTACAATTAACTTTCTTTTGGTAGAGGACAAGTTGAGAAACCTCACGCATACACTGTAGACGATTCATATCTTGTGGTGAATTAACTTGTATGATTCTCATGAATAGAAAAAAAATCCCCAAAATTGAATAATATAAATGCTAGCACATATAAAAAGGTCATATCCTCGCAAAATGACAGCAAATGAGCAGTACTTGGTACAAATGACCTACTCAAAAGACCAGCTAGAATACTTACGAAAATGCTTTTAAATTACATGTTTGTGCCCATTTAAAGGGATTGTCCGGTCAAATTTTTTATTTGAGAAAACAATAGAATATCATTGTTATTGCCTCGAGACCCATCGTATGTGGAATATCTGAATTCTATATGCCCCTGTGCATGAGTAACTGAATTTATACTGCTCCAATCACTCTCTAGCGTAAACGCTGCTTTCGACGGCAACATTGGAGCTCTGACGTCAGAGAACACAAAACGAGCACAACAACAAAAACGAAGCACTCAGTGTGCTTCGTTTTTGTTGTTGTGCTCGACTTGTTTCGTGGTTGGGCAAGATTTTTGTTGCGCGGTTGGGTGCCACAACCACCGGGCAGCACATGCGAGCCAAGACATGCTGTTCCGCACTTTTGCGTGAGACATGCAGTGACGAACAAAATTGGATCGTCGCTGTGCGTAGGGAGTGGGTTCTCGTCCAGATCGAGATCCCGCTTATGCAGCAATCATCTCACAGAATAGAGCTACGAGCCGAGCTCTAAGCGGACAGAAGTCTTGTAAGCTGAGGTGCGATGCTCTGTGCCAACGATATTAAACTACGTCCATCCACTCCTCGCCCTAATCAGATCAATTTGATTATGCGGCGAAACCGAAACCAACTACTAGACCACCTGGAAACGATACTAGAAGTTATATTTAGCACGCGTGCTGCCACATTCTGTTTGACCCGCATGTGAAAATATAGCGTGGCTATGATGCACCAAGCTAGTCCAAGTAAGGTGACAACATGCATTTGAACGATTCGCCGTTCGCCTTCAATTCGTTGACGTCGCCTCTGAGGGAACGACCCGCAGCCTCATCACCGATCCAGTGGATCAGCCGACATGTGTAGTACCCAGATGCCGCTTTGTGTACCTAGGTGCCGCTTTCAGAGGCGAAATCTGCATCCTTTGCTTTGCAAGCGCTCCTAGCTCGATCGGTGGTCGTTGCAGTTGTGTTTGCGCGAAATGGCATACATTTGCTCATAACTTATGGCTGTCTGCGAGTAATATCCTGCTAAAAGACGCGACTTTTTTTGCACATGCTCCGGAACTGCATTAAAAGAACCGTATTTCAGTAGGGTACAGCCTAGGAGTCTATACAATTCGAAACAAAATACAAGACATCCATCGACCAACGCTTGTTATCCCGACCATCCGACAAACTTTGAGTTTTGTGATGTCATGCAGCAGCTACGGATGTCAGCCATTGACGCTGGTGAAACTAGTGCAGTTTCGTACATTTGTTTACGAAAGGTTTAACAGGAGATCATATTGTTACGAATGACAAGTGATGAGGCGATAATAACTGGAGAAACTAAACGTTTAATGGGGCGAACTTGTGCCCAAAAGTAAAAAGGGAACAGAATAAAGCAGAGCGTCGCGGGCGTCGAAGTCGGCGTGACAGCAGAATCGAACGCTGGGGCGAAACTGACTCCGGCTCGCCACGCGGAGCCCCTTATGGACATGCGTGAGCTTCTGGAATAATCGGCGTAGAATGTTCGACGCGTAGAACCATTTGGACCTCGAACAAGCAACACGATTCTCGAATTTACCAGAAAACTAAATTGCAGGAATAAACAAAAGGACGCGTAACTCCCGGGAACCGAACCCTGTCTCTTCGCGTGGGAGGCAAGCGCGATAACTGTTAGGCCACGTCTGCGCTACCTACTTGGCGTGCGGCAATATATCAAAATGAAAATGACACTTGTCTACATGAAGGCTCCCTTGACGTAACAAGCGCAAAAACTTAAGTACTTCCGGTTTTGACTGGACAATCCCTTTAATAAAGGGGTACTCCGCCGATTTTTGAGCTACCTCAACTAACTATATTTTCTGACTCCCCGGCCTTTACCCTCTCTGGTATGCTATTTAGTATCGTGAAATTCATAATAGTTATTGCGAAATCGGCAAATGAAAATGATGCAAAAACAAACATTCAAATATACCCGCCCTTTTCAGGGCCGTGACGTCAGTGGAAGGTCAGCTTGCCAGTCGGGCGAGCAGTCTAAAAAATAGAATATGCCGATCATTTGTTCCGTGCTGAAGCGTGGGGACTGGAGCAAGCTTGCAAAGCATTCATTTGACACCATGAAACTGCTTCGAATCAGTTGGGAACAAATTCTACAGTCCAAAGAGTGAACACCTGCACTTCCAATGACGTCACTTTTTCATTGTTGCCAGTAGAGACTTTCAGTTTGAAAAACACGGTGAGGACCAAAATTGTAAATTCAGTAACTTTGTGAAAAAAAATTATTTTGACCTAATATTTGGGATACTATTTTGCCGATGTTGTTTGGCGAGTTTAGCAAAATTTCAAGCAAATCGGGGACCATGAAGAAATCTGCGGAGTACCCCTTTGAGTTAAACATGCACATACCTTGTGATGCCTAATCCAAAACAAGGATCACCATAGACAAAGCAATTTTTTTGATTTACATGGGGAGACATTTCATTTTCCGTTATACAGGGCGTCTTTTTTTATATTTTATGCAATTTTTTAAAAAGAACTGTAGAACCTACAGCATTGCAGTTTGTGCAGATAAGTTTTATGTCCAAGTGGACACTATGTCAAATAGATAATGCATCTAAAGGATGAGTAATTAACTAAAATTCACTTATTGACTTTCAATTAGAGGATTTAGGGCACATGTTTATATTCCAGAATTTGAGGCAGTCAATGTCAAAGGGCAGCCCACTTCTTAAAAACCCTGCATCGAGCACGGGGTTCGAGCTATCCATCGCCAAATTTTACTCTAGAAACAGTCTGAAACCGAAACCAAACTTCTGAAATGTGCCGGAAAGACAACCCCCGTTTCTAGCAACCGTGACAAGGTTTATTTTTCAGTGTGTTATCAGTGACGCCTGTATTCTAATCGGATCTGAAAGTAGAAAAAAGATACTAAAGAGATGCGCTGGAAAGCAACTTGTGACAGTCCCTCTGGTACAAAACAGGGTTGTCCTTCTGGTGCGCTTTGAGCGTTTGGTTTCGGTTTCAGACAGTTCCCAGAGTGAAGTTTGTGCAATGGACAGCTCGAACCCCGTGCTCGATCCAGGATTTCCAAGAACTGGGCTAGCCTTTGACATTGACTGCCTCCATTTTCGCAATATAAACATGTGCCCTAAATCCTCGAATTAGAACGTTAGTTGGTGAATTTGAGTTAATTACCTATCTTTTCGATGCATTATCTCTTTAAAAGAGTGTCCGCCTGACTGTATAACTCATCTGCACAAACTGCATCGCAGCAAGTTTTACTTGTTTTTTTTTTTTTTAAAGAAAATTATGTAAATAATTAGAAAAAACACCCTGTATATTGGCCATTCAAATTCGCCTACACATCTTTGCCTTGGTGCAGAAAATTACTGAGCATGACTGCCAGTTTCCAAGTGCAGTGTGCATGAAGCAATTGCCGAAGCACATTGCTTGCAGCGGGGCTACACCTCCAGCAGCAGTGAGGGCCAATAAAAATAAATCCTCATCCAAGCAGAAACAACTTACCTTTTAGCACCCTTTTCGATTTCCTGGAGACCGTCGACAGCTTGGTGGAAGTCAAAAACTGGTGGCACAAAAGAATACAAACAAAAAAAATAATAATAATCACAACCTTACTCTGACTTTAGAAACAACAACTACAGCCACACTATAAGTAGCCAAAAATCAGCGTAAGAAAGCGGGCCAAAATGTGGGTATTAACAGTGTGATACAACAACCAGCCGTAACACCTCCATAAGCAAACGAGTTCTTGGCAAGCAAGCAAATGTGGTTCCAAGGTGGACAGATACAAAGCCACTATAAGAAGGCATGGCCAAAGCAGAAAAACAGTTATGAATATGATGACCAACCAAACTGCGTGTTAGCACATATTTCAATCAAAAAAACTGCTGCAAATTTGACCTTTTGCCGTATTTTATCCTTAACAGTCATGTACGTACCGCTGCTGCAACCACTGTGTTGCAACTATGATACAAACGGCGAATAAATGCTGATCAATGTTTGACATAGTAGTGAACACTGAACTGAACATTCCCAAGAGCAGAAGCTAACAATGAACTTATACCACCACGAAGAAGTAAAGAAGCTTACCAAGCAGACTGATTGTTACAAAGTTATACATACCAGACAACTGGTAAGCATTGTTTCTGCTTTTGAATTATTTTCTTTTGCCTTACCATGCCTTTATTCACACTAGTTGATGTGTTAAGAAATTTACAGCCTCAGTTGTGGCTACACCATACAAACATAACAAATGAGCACTGGTTATACAACATTAAAGGAGCTGTGCAACGATTTTAACGTTGAAGGAATTGGCATTTTCTGCTTTTGATATTGTTCACTGTGTCACAAATGGCAGAAAACACACCTCTTTTCATCGCAATGTTGCGATTCCGCCGCGTAATAGCGAGGCAAAACTTGGAATATTTCCCGACCTGCAGCCACGAGCGGCGGCCATGAGAAACAAGCGGCGTGACGTCACTTGGGTCGTTGTAAGAAAGATAGCAAGTTGTGCGAATACCTGCTCGATAAAAGGTAACTCTTTTTACAAATCTTGTCGTTCCAACATATATATAAATGCGTCAACACCCTGGTATCATCGACAAAACTTTTATTATACGGAGTTTTAGTGGCGCCATCTATCCTAGGTCCACAAAACCGCGAACAGCCGCCAGAAGCCGGAGGGGGAGGGGGACAGCGCCACACTGGCAAGGACGGGTGGTCACGCGGTCGGCAGCGGATGAGTTCTCGCTGCTCGCTGATGGCTCTAAAGAGAGAACTTTTCCGGAACTCCGCGCCTACTCTAGTGACGTCACTGTGCACGTGACCCGGAAGACGATGCACGAGTTGAGAGGCGGCAAAAACCTGGATCTTTTTCATTTTTTTAAGTAAAAACTAGGGTATCCAGGCAAAATCTGTTTTCTGTAGTTCACTGCAGAAGTGTCAGGCATCAACTTCCACAATTATTTAAGCAAAGCCCTGAAATTGTTGCACAGCTCCTTTAAGGATGACTAAATTACGACTTTGTGCGCCAATTTAATCACTGTATGTCACTGGATGTTAAAAGCACACAGCCAATGCAACTGCTGAGTGTTTTAAAACGCCGTTTTCACCACTGAAAACACAATTTAAACAGCACAAAAAACGTAAAGACAATTAGAAGGACACAGACACACCGCTGACTCATGACTTATTTTCTTTCTCGTCTTCTTTAAAACACATCAAAACAAGAAGAAAAAGAAAGGAAAAAGAAGAGTCCCACATGTAGGACATCTTCCCTGTCATTTGCCTGGTGAAGCGAAATGACAGTGAAGATGTCCCACATTTAGTAGAGTAAGGCTATGTTAAAAGGTTAAAAAATAAAGTACCTCAATCGGTCCCACTAGTGTAAGCACAACCGTTTTAAAGCCAATTCGATATAAACGAAGTGGATCCTGGGATCAAATGGAAATTTCACCAAAAAAAACCAATTGGGAACAGGAAAGAAACTGAGCCTCGCCAAAAGAACGACCCAGGAAGGACCGACAGGGAGAAAGGACCCTGCAGAGCCCAACACCAGCCCAACCCCAAGAAGGAACACGAAAGGGCGACACCAGTGGGTCGACGACGGTCAAAGACATCCCTGCGCCGGACAATCGCCGCCGTAGTGAGACGGGTGAAACAGGTTTTGGAGCAATTTTTGGAGCAGAAAAATTTGGATTTCGGAGCAGCTTAGGAGCACAAAATTTTCGTTTTGAAGCAGCAGCTTATGCATTCTGGAGCAACTTCGAAGCATAAAAGTCTACAGTTTGGAGCAGTTTAGGAGCAGAAAATAAAAGAGCAGTTTATCAGCAATTTAAATCATAAAAATTCTGATATAAATAACATAAAACAGATTTTTCTTTTTTAATCCTTATTTTTGTCCATTCTGGTTCCAATAACTCATCAGTGCCGATTTGCACCAAGATAAAATATAGAAAAAAAAAAAAGAAGGCAAACACGAGTTTCATGCGCACAGATGAGGAGAGGGAAAACAGGCTTGCTGCAAAGTTAGGTGGGCACCAAGTACCTCAAGCTTATACGAACTGGAGCCAAAGGGCAACTGTAGTGAAAAACTTTTTAAAGCGGTGATTCGAGAGCATGAACAGAGAAGCACGGTTTACTACAACCAGACATCGATTGGACACTCGTAGAAAGCATGTGCAGATAGAAAACAACTTCCCACCAAAGTGAGTTAAAAGGTAAGTAGCGAATTGGCAGAAAAACTAGGGGCACCACATGCACACTAAATACGGGTGTCTGATTGATTCACTCGGTTGCTCACGCACTGGAAGCGTGTGTGATAACCGAAAGTACTAACAGCGATGGCACCGTCCATTTTGACGGGATTACGGATACGAATGAACAATTACAGAATGGAGGTGCTCAATAGCACTTTTAAGAAAAGGTTTACTCTCAAAACAAAGGAACTACTTAGGTTGCTCATCTTGATAGCTTGTGCGTCGTACCTCCCGCGGCGAGACAGCGAGACCGCATGACAGCGCACCGTTAGCATGTAGTCACAAATGACAGCGGAAAGTAGTACGAAAATCGGGAAAAGACCACGTATCATAAGTATAGAAGAGTACTACAGCTGAAATTTTTGAATCGAGCGGTTCCTTGCGCCACCCTGCACCCGTGCCGTCTACTTTACTACGACAAGATTAAATGTTGCCAACCAAGCTCTCGTTTCCCGCTAAATTTGGCGCCGCTGCAAACTTCATTTTAGTTTTTGAGTTGCTTTGACGCAGTGTGGAGCAATTTCGACCTATTTCGCATTTTTGGATGTACAAAAAGGTCACATCGGTTTTCCAGCTCATTTTGTCCGTGAAGGATAGTGTCACTGACAAGAGAGAATGGCAGGGTGTCATTTAAATGCCCCTCCTTCAGCACGTGCTCAATGCCTTTCGCCACGCTTTGCCCGTGTGCAAGCACAAGGCTCAAGAGATGCCAAAGCATGATCAAAGGCAGCGAGTCATCATTGAAGGCAGCATTCTGTCAGCGACTAAGACGGAAGAGGCAAATGATGTCTACAATGCCATTCCTTCCCTGGTACTACAACGACCATTAAGTACCCCCCCCCCCCCCCCCCCCCCATTGCACAGAGCAAAAAGGAAGAAAGCCAGCTCAGACACAAATTCAAAGTAATAGGTGCACCCACCGAGATGTGAACGGTCCGAGATGAGGAGGCGAGAGCGAACGTCCATGCCCTTGTCCTCGAGCTTTCTGATCTCTTCGAAGAGCTGAGGCACATTCACCACCATGCCATTCCCTGCAAAACAATGGCGACGACGACACAAACCATGGTTTACGTTTCTATGTTTGCCTTTTCCTTACCTTGGCAGCAACAAAAACCAAACCAAACAAAAATAGCTCCCAAGTGCCGTTCCCCACTTGCAACTTCTTAGGACCGATTGAAACCTCTCAAAATCTCTTACCAACGAGAGAACCTACTACCTGTGAGAAATGGTCGTCTATGACATTGACAAAAGTCTTTCGAGACAAGAAAGAAAGAATTATGCGCGAAATAAATGGAAAACGTACGATACCGACAAGTGTTATACGACTACCCAACAAATGGTGCCAGTGTCTCATTGTACGACATTTTAAAAGGTTTTGAGGCGCTCGGTCCTAAAAGGTCGCTAATGTGTGAATGGGCATTTAGTCTCTTGGCATGGGCGGCTAGAAGCGTACGCCATCACGCCGACTCACCGATGCCAAGTCGTACTTGCACACGGACGTGAAATTCGTTTATTTGTTTCGTTCTTATTGAGCCAGTTCTACGTCACTGCCATTTACTACGGATATGGTGCACCAATGACGACGCCACCGCTGCAAATGTCAAAACCCACCCCATGCCTCCTTCCACAAAAACGGGCGTGGCCAGCGTTTGAGCCGACGCTTCGGTGTGATAAAACGGTTTTGGCAACGGTTTATAACACCGTTGCCAAAACCGTTGCCAAACATTTGGCAACGGTTTCGATCTAGTTTCCAGTTCGAGTCGACGGCCCTCACAAAACCAAGAACTGTTTTAGAGGCAGACGTGCACGAGCAGATAGGATAACTCCAAATTTAAAACCCATGTCGCCGTGCAGGTGTTAATAAAGTTGTTTGGGGGCGCATTTTGTGATGTCTGCATCCTAGAAGATAAGTCTTTTGGGAGCACAGTGCTCAAAGAGACAGAGCCCCAAGAAACTGCTGGTCCAAGGAAACAAGGGGTTCCAAGGGCAGACGATTGCGGAAGACTTATTTTCCCAGAGGACCCTAAATATTCTTATACCCAAGACAGTGAGGGCAAGACATACCCAGGAGGGCAGTAACTTTGCTGTTGGTCAGACCACTGGGCAGAAGGTGGAAGTCGTACGCAACGTTGCCCACCCACACCATGTGGCCAGCATTGTTGCCACCCTGTAAAAGAAAGAATGCACGAAATATTTTGTAAGTTTCAGAAGAAATCTTTGCAACCAGTGGATCATATTCAAGATAACTAGCGCCCCCGGTGGAGTACTTGGGTTCGAGGATTCCCAGGACGAAAAAGCAAGCGTCATTAGGAAGGGAAGGAAAGAAGCTTCTCGGAACAAACTAGAGGGCAAAAGATGAGCCAAATGAACACAAAAGGGACACTTGAGAAGTTTAACCTAGGTCACTGCAGCTCAATATATACAGCGGGATCTAGCCTCATTGGTTGAGGGAGTGCCCACTTTCGTTTCAGCATGTTCTCGTGCATTTCCATAGCAGAACCTGAACAGTTGGTTTTGAAACGGTTCCAGAAAAAATGAAGACTGCAAGAACTGAACACCAAATTCTCAAAAAAAAAAAAGAACTCCAATCTCATGATTGGAGTTTGAAGTACCTTGAAGTAGGAGCAGTTGATGAATAGTAAATTTCACTGACACTTCATAAAATGAGGACTCTGGTACCCGCCTTTTTCCTAACAGACAACTGCCAAACTACCATGAGGCTCCTCTTTCCAAGACGAGATTACTTTTTAATGGTGCCTATCAAATGGTTTTAAAACTCACCCATTAGTTCCAATTATTATCAATAATGTGTGTATGTATTTGCATGGAAAAGCCAAAATGAAGGTAACAGATCCACAGAAAATCAGTGAACCAGAATCGAACAAGGTAACAATTACTACAGTGATCAATATTTCTTGTTTTATAGAGCTGACCTTTTCATAAAACTATGTGCTTACCTTAAGAGAAATCGTACAATACCCGAAATTCTGGCCAATCAGGGACCAGTCATTTATTTTGGTTTCGGGTGGGCGCTCCTTCAATATTTTACAATAATCAAAAATTAATTATACTCTAATTTTTTTTTCTTGCAATTTTTTTGCAAGTTTTTGTTGCACAACTCACCTTTTTGCTCTCGCTAATAAGCTCCCTTCCACCCTTGACCATAAACCAAATAGATTGCTCCTCTTTATATTTTCGCAAAGCTTTCGATAAAATTTTGCGGAAGCGTTTAGTTTCCACACATGATCAGCTCAATCTTGATCTTAATATGATGTCCTGGATTAAATAATTTCCAACTAATCATTTCAGTTAGTTGCACTTAATGATTACTCAACCCCGCTATTTATGGCATTTCCTGGCGTCCATTTTAGGGCCCCCATTGATTATTTATATAAATGACGAATATGTGTATTTTCCATCTATCAGTCTAATCACCGATGATTGTGTTGCATGTTGTGAACTTACCAACAACTCTGACACACAAGGCTCTTTCAATGCAACATACATGCGGAAGCAGAATGTGTAACTTTGGCAGACGTCAACAGGGACAAATGGGAAGCTACAAACGTCTCTCGTCGTAACGGTCCTTCTTTGCCTTGCTCAACTTCTAACCCTCCTCTGCACTCTGTAACCAGCTACAAGCATTTTGGTTTTCACATCGATTCCAATATGTCGGGGTGTCTAGCAAACTATCACTTTTAAATTCCCCGACTTTTCCAGGTTTTCCCTGACAATTTCAGGAGAAATTCCCTGACCACTGTAGGGGCGGTTAAAAATATAAGACCATTACAACACAAGGAACTGAGCATTGAGCACTGCGAGGATAATCTTGCACGGGCTTAATCAAACTTGCATAATCCGAAATATTTGGGTGTGTCCAGTCCAGATTAAATGAGCCCTTTCTTGCTACCGACATCGTCACTTAAAAGGCCGCTTCTAGAAACACGATAAAAACAAGACGCTCAACCCCACACGGCAATAACCGAGTGGCAGCATGGCCGCCAGATGCCCACTTTCGGCTTAAGGCTTGGATTGGATTAAGGTCTGCGGCTTTTCCATTTGTTACTAAATCTAGTAGCTTTAACTGGATCTAGCCTAGTGTCGCACCCTCAATCCAATCCAAGGCCGTGACTGGATTTGTTTGCAGGTCCATTTGCATCGGGTAGCACACTCTACATCGGGTGATCAGAACCCGTGCTTCGCTCTAAGCAGAGTTTATTGCCTTTTTTTCTGCCCCTAGTCTTTGCTCGGGGCTCGATTTTTGACAATATCCCTGACGATGCTCCGATCTTTCCCGGTAATTAAAATTTCCCTGACAATGCCCGGTTTTCCCGGTTGCTAGACACCCTGTATGTAATACGGATAGAATTATTGCTAATAAAAATTCAATGCTTGGTTATTCAAAAAGTAATGTCACTATTGCCCTGACGTCCCTAAACTAGGGCTGGGCGTCGATTAAAGATGTTAACCCAATCAATCGCTGCCCTATAATCGATTCACATATCGGTTAATCAGCTCTGTTTACCTATGGACATAAGGTCCAAGAAGTGACAAAAATACACATTTTTTTTTTTGACTATCTTTTACTGTCATAAACATTCAAGTTGAGGCAACATTTACCACCCTTAAGAAAAAACACTGGAAGACATTTTAAAAATTAACATTTAACAAACTTGACATTGGTGATGAAAGATGTTAACTATTTCAGGCACAAAAGTTTTGTTTCGCATAAAATCAAGATATTATTAAAATAGTTACAAACTAAAATTAAAAACAAAAAAATATTCGCAAAAGAAAAAAAATTTGATGTGGGTTACGATATATTAGGTGGTGGTAGGTCCAGGTGACTACCACGCTCGTAAAGACTTCCGATTATTTCTTCTGAAAGTCGCAAGACCATTTTTCTTCCTCAAGCAGCTGTATTGTCCTCGAGCGCGCTGCGCACATTCCTGATGTGCGCCTTTTCGGCTTATATTTTGACACAGTGACATGTGTGGTTGGGCAACACATTTTACTTTTTTTCGCTGCACTGTGTGCTGAGCAGAAGACTTGCACTTGAACTCTGCGAAAACTTTTACTTCTTGGCACGAGCTTCCACTCTTTTCTAAACTAGGCGAGACGCAAAACGTTTGTTGCAAAAACAGCAGGGTTGTGCTTCACAAAATGTCGCCAGGTGTGTTGATGAAACAAACGTGGGAAGACTTCAATAAAAAGAATATGTCTATGAATCTGCATGCTGACGAAATGACCTGTCAATAAAGAGTCGCTCGGCGAACTGATTGCCACAGCAGTAAAGTCATTCATGCATGGTGGTTACATCTGATGACCACCAAGCAAATCTAGCGTGACCCGTGCTATGACAGAGTGCTCCAATTTTTGTTTTATTGCACCCCATGTTTTCTGCGCTTTTAAGCAGCTGTGCATGGGCACCACCATAACCAACCTTTCATTTTAGTTTCCTCTCATTCCGTTCACTTCACTCCATCAATTCCACAGCAGGACAGGTTATTGCCCCTTTAGGTGCTACTGTGTCCTCCTCCCCAGCATAGGCCTTTCTGGAGGCTCATCAACGCCTGCCTCAGTGGCTCAGCAGTTCGGTAAGACAAGAGAAGGTTGGCAATGGCACCTCAATCTGGTGCGTGTCTAAAGCGTCTAAACACCAGAAATTCTGCAGCTAAAGGTATTACTGAGTGAACTCTACTCTGCATTGGTAAAATCTTTTGGGATCGAACAAGAGAGGATGCCATGACTACCGCAGCAACTGAACAAAACATTTTTTCCCTCTTATCGCAGCCCGCTATACTCGGCGACAACTTTTCTTGGCAATGGAGTGGAAGGTGAGGCCCGCGTCCCCTCTCCCATTTTGAGTGTACGCAGGCTTTCCTCCTCCCCCATTTCCGGGGAGAGGAGGAGAGCCTGCGTACACTCAAAATGGAAGAGGGGACGCGGGACGTACCTTCCACTGCATTGCCAAGAAAAGTTGTCGCCGAGTATAGCAAGGCAGTGCCATCCGGAGTCGGGAATGAGAAGCCGAAGGAAATGCGGCGCGTGTGGTTTTTATGCAAAAGAAAATAAAAGAATAAAATATTCAGGTGGTGGTTAGTGAAGGTAACCACTGTGCTTGAAAGTGTTAAAGGACCCTACCGTGGAAGTCAACAGGGCTGCCTCCAAAAACGAAAGTATGTGTGTCAACTAATACAGCAGACCTTTTTCCTTTTTTTTTTTTTTTCCTCACAATTTTTCAAGTTTTTTGTCTAAGGCTGGACTCTATGGAGCGAAAAAAGCAATGAAAATTGCCTGGTGGCATTTAGCTCTGTGCATCGTGTCAGGAGAGAGGCTGTAGAACGTGAGCAAAGTGAGAGCGCCACCAACCTAAGTTTGTCTGTTCTTTGCCGCATTTCCCTCTATGGAGGTCAACAATCAACGGGTTAAAAAAAACTAGTTGCTATTAAAGCATGAACTAGAAGGTTAACCTATCAATTGCCCAGCCCTACTCTAAGCCAATGTTGAGTAAAACTCTCCTGCACTCTAAACTAGGTTATGCCGCGGCCATCTCGGACACAGGTCAGGCAGCACTCGCGATTGATCTTAGAACCCTATAAAATCGCAGCTCAGGCTTTGCGTTCTCTAACTTTCGTTGCCAGACTGTCTCAACTATGAAAATTAATTTATCTGTTCTTTCTATTCCAGTACTTCACCAAAAGACAAAGTAACACTTAGCCCCTCATTCATTTTTCTAAATGTCGATCACCAATATAAAGTCTGGATTCATCACTGTAAGGTGTCCACTCACATTAACTTGCTCATTCCTAAAACACCCACCGAGCAGAAGCACCTTACCACACTTTTAGTAGATATATCGTCCATTGGCTTATTTAAAGGGCAACTCCGCTCAATTCCGAAGATTTCGGGATAATGATTGATTTCGAATTAAAAAGCCCTAGTAAAACACACTACGTCGTTTGCTTCGCGAAAAATGGGATATATATTTTTAAATCTGATTTTAAACACGAGCGGAAATCGAAACCGAAACTTCGGCTCCGCCTGGCAACATTGGCCTCGGGTCGCCAAGTACATGGCCATCACGTGGTACGAGATGTCACGTGATCCTCGGCCCAACGACGGGCGGGATTGGGGCGGGCATGTGGCAGGCGCGAGTGTCGTCTG